AGCGTCTCTAACAGCAGAGCGGTGACACTCGTAAGCTGCCGAGGAAGGCGCCGTATCTGGGGCAGCTGAGCACTGAAGCCTAAGGCTGCAAATTCTTTCCTGGATTTCAGTGCAGAGTCGGGAAGGAGCAGGCACAAAAGCAAGACTCACCAAACGGGCACCGTGCCACACAGAGACGTTCACTCACCCACTTCCTGAACAAGACGGTGTGCCAGCACTCATCTGGAGAAGTGGCAAAGAATGAGGCAGAGTCCCTGCCCCTAGGCACTCTCAGGCCACGCACCCCGGGCTCCCTTCCAGCAGACGGTAGGAGGCTCCCAGTCCTGCATGGTCCCCGTGGGTTCTCGGCAGATCTCAGCCACCTCGTACAAGAGCCCTGGGGTCAAGCACAGGCAGTGCGACAGCCCAGAAGGGCAGGCAGCAAAGCCCCAGGAGCCAGCTGGGCCACCAGACCACTGCCCCCTATGAGGGTGCAGGGCCCTGCTGTGCCAGCCTCCTACGCCCATCACCAGAAAAGTGTTGGGCTACAGGGCATTGTGGGAGAGTAGAGCTGGGCACAGGAATGAAGTAGCGCCCTCTGCAGAGTGCAGGCCCTGGGCACAAGCACAGTGGACAGCCTGAGACCCAGCTGGAGCCCCAGGCTGAAGGCTCAGGCCACCCTGGCGGTCACAAGCACATGACTATCACCACGCAGCCTGCACTACCCTTGCCACGCTGCAAATGTTTACTGACTCAAGATGTCGCAGACAAACAGTGGGCTTTCGGCTTCTGCTCCTTCTCTGCTGGGCTCTTCGCAGAGAGGCCCGGGTGGGAGGGCTCTCCAGCCTCTCCCGTACACCTACATGCCCCAGTTAACTTGGGCTGTGCACAATCAGGCCACTGTCCTCTCCCCTGCAGCAGGAGGGGCTACATCTTCACCTCTGCCCTAGACAGGCTTGGACCTGGTACAGGACAGCCCCCTACTGCCCCACACAGACCAGTGCTGGGATACAGCACACTGCCCTGGGTGGGGCCAGAGAGCTGGTCCCCCATCCAGTGACCAGCCCTGACCCAAGCACCTCGAGGATAGAGGATGGCATCCAAGGAGCCGGGCCACCCTGAGGCCCTCTAGTTCCAGCACGGGTACACTCTGGCCCAGCCTGCTATTCCAGGCAGATTAACTGAGAGTTAATCTGAGTTATGTAACCACCACTCCCTGCTCTCAGCCTCCTTGTGAGTCACCAGCCCCTTCGAATCCCTGGAAGGGGTCTTGGAGGAAAGCAGAGAGGAGTCCCAGCACCCATCTGTTTGTCCTGGCCCCAGAAAGCCCCTGCCACTCCCCCTTGTGCCTGGCTGGTATCGGGCTAGAGAAACCCCCTCCAGCCAGACTTCAAATGTGCAAATCTAGATCAAGGATATATTTGGCTTTCCATGCCAATCTCTATATCAACTTGGTCTCTCCTGACTTGTAACGCTTTGAAGAAACTTGGCAGCTCCATATTTAAGATAGACGACACCAATGTAGCCCCCTGAAGAAGAGGCCCTGGCTTGGGAGACTCCCAGGTTGGGGTTCTAAGTTTACCCACCTTATCGTGACCTGAACGAGCAGTTTGCAGGTCTCTCCAGGCCTCCTGCAGTCCCCACAGAAAGCTCAAGGAGCAGGGAGCAAGCGCACAGTGGCACGCCTGGAACACATACACCACGGGTGGGTCAAAGTCTGGGAGCTGGGCTTGGTTCTGAAGCCTGGATAGGGTGCGACTGTTCCCCCAGTAACCCCGCCAGGAGGCGCAGGTGTGTGCAGTGGGAAGCAGACTGTCACCTCTCCAGGGACCCCGAGACAGACATCTCTGGGAGGCATGGAGCTATCTCAGCATGTGAACTGCCCTCTCCAGGGCATGGAAAAGGGGAAGCAGGTGATCGTATAAATAAACCACAGTGGCGGGCGGGGGTGGGCCCCCTCCCCAGGGCAGCAGATGCCAGGGGTAAGCACAGGGCCGGGGCGGGCAGCAGCGCTGCTGAAAGAGTTGAGCTGCCGCCTAGATTTGCAATTCATACAAGCAGTGTTGTCCCTGATGGGTATCTCGGCCGCTGACACTCGATGGATTCCAGTTGCAATCAATTTAGTAGCAGCAGCTGGAAATCGGAGTGAGCCAGGATTCACCGAGAGCACGGTGTTTGTGGACAGAGCGTTTGACTTCATCCTCTAAAGCCTGGCTGCATAGCCCCAGATGCTAGGGGACTTCACAGCTGGGGACAGAGACAGCCAACCCCCATGGCTCCCTGCCACAAGGCCCAGACTTGACACAGTGTGCGCCTCCTGGAGGGCTTGAGAAACTGTGAATTATGTCACTACACACAAACAGGGTCCCCCAAATAGAAGGGGCCAGGGAACCCCAGGACAGCAGGACAGACAGGCGGACCGTCAGGGACACAGCCTGGGAATGAGCCTGTAGCCATCTGCTGAGTCTCCGTCCTGAGCACAGCGTAACCAGAGTTGGGCACAGTGGCTCCAGCCCCTAACCGGACTGCAGCCCCAGAGGCTACCAGCAGCCAGCAGCCAAACTTGGACTGGGCTGTCGCTGAGTAAGCAGGCCCGCAAGCTGCTGGGGATGATACAACGCTGCTTGCAAGCCCCAGGGTGCTCTTCAAGGACTACCTTCTCCGTGCTAATGGAAGTAGCTTTGGAGCTTTGATACAAACACCACCACCAAAAAAATAAAAGGACATAAAAGCAGATCGATGAGACTCCATCTGTTTCTCCTAAAAAGTCAAGGCTCCACGTACAGCTCATTCCCAACACAGAAGCAAAGAGCCCAGAGCAGGCTGCTCAGGAAGCAGAGAAGCCCCTCCCTCAGGTTCCAGGGGGCCTCGGGCCTTCTGTCACCTCAGTCAGAGGCACAGCATTTACCTGTCCTCACCAGGCTCCACACTTGGCAGCAAGATGCCCACAGATCACCTGGGCAGCCACAGCTGACCAGATCTGTCTGGGAAGAAAAAGTGCATGCAGATTCAAGCACACAGTCCCTGGAGCTCACCTCTGTTGCTGGGAGTGACACAAGCCCACCAGGCCCCGTGCACAGCCTCTGACCCTGGCCAGGGGACACACAAGACCTCTCCCATCAGGCTCCTAAGTAGGTGACAGCTCGTTTTATAGGTGCATTTACAGAAAACCTGCACTAACATTGAGGGGAAAAAACAAAAGGTCAAACTTCAAAATCACCAGCAGAACTATTTCTGAAAGCAAAATCCCAAAAAGATCTTCCATGGGGATGCTTCAGAGGAACGGCTCCAGAGCATTTGGAAACAGAAAAGCTTCTTTCCATGCTATCTGCTCGACGCTCCCCTTATCAAAAATGTGCTAATCTTTCAACTTAGTAACTTAGCAATAAGAAAAAAAAATGTCTGATAGAAATAAGTTGCGATTGACAGCCAGGTGCCAGACAGCGGCTTGCAGGATCTGACAGCGTGTGGCTAGATAGGGTGGGGACCTGCTGACCATTCCCCAGGCCTTGAGGTCTGGCTGAGACTCGGGGCGATCGAGACAGAGGAGCAGGCAGCAGGCAGCAGGCATCGGGTTGGGTCATCCCAGCAAAGCTGTCCTTGTTCCCTTTTGCCAACCTGGCAGCACCGAGGAGCCTAACCTTATCAAGCCCAAGCTCACTAATTGATTCAGGCTCAGCCAACACCCAACAAGATCAGCTTCATGATTAACCTTTTAAAGCCCACAACGGCAAACAAGCCCAGGCATCAGGAGAACGTCGCCAATAATAGCATCTGACAATTTTCACCGAGTGTGTTAAGCAGCATTTAGCCCTGGGTGCCAAATCGTCTCATGTATCAAGGGTAGTTAGAAAACACTTGGCACGGTAGTCCCCTTCCGATTTCTCAAAACCAGGACGTGCACGCGGCCCCCCTCCCCGCGCCCCATTCCCCTCAGCCTCACACAGAGGGGCAGAGCCAGCCTGCTCAGGCAATTGCGACCCCTTTCAGCCAGCGCGGAAGCACAGTGCATCCCAGTGGACAGACGCGGGAAGGCAAGCAAGCTCTCCGCCTCCACCTCTGTCCTCCTGGTTCCGGGTGCCACCAACCCCATGCCCAAAAGCCGGTTCTGCTGAAACCCCCCCCCCCGCAAGAGGACAACAGCTAGGAGGCAGTCTGCTCCGAAAAAGGGAAGGATTGTGCCCTAGGGGGTCCCTGGGACAGCCAAGGTAGACACTGGAGAAGCCAGAGCGCCCGGGAGGTGGGCAAAGTTTTCAGGGAAGGGTCTTTCTGGAGACCCCCACCGTGGACACAGGGATTCAGCCTGGCTCTTGCGGGCCCTGGAGTCAGGGACACAGACAAGCCCGGCGGAGGTGCCCACGCGTGTGGGAGTGTGAGTGGCAGTGGGGGTTGTCTGCCGGTGCTCACCACATGCCCAGGCTCACCAGCCCCAGCTGCCTGCCAGCTGTGCGCGACCGGCCGACCGGAGGTCACCCAAAACAGCTGGATTGGCAGCTGGAGCCCTGAGGCTTCAGCTCAGTCCGGGGCCCAGGAAGAGAAAGAGCAAGGGCGGGCAGGGCGCTGTCTGAGCTCCTCCAACTCCGCCTGCAAGGCTCTCTCCGGGAAGCATTGGCTCTGGCTCACCCGGCAGCCCTGGCCCCTGCTCCCGCCTCGCCCAACGGCCCGCGCCTCGCCCGAGCTCCGGGAAGGAAGCGCGCCGGGGCGGACGGCCAGGACACTGCGCTGCTGGCGCCTGGGGCTGCGGGCGCGCCCGGCCAGTGTGTTGCCGGCTGCTGGGGCGAGCGCCCTGCCCGATGCCCCTTGGACACTCAAGAGACCCAGAGGACCGGCTGCTCATTGTGGGAAAGCGAGGCTCAGGGATCCAAACGGCGGCCCCCACCTGCTCTCCGGGCAGTGCTGGCCGCGCTCGGAGATGGAGGGGGGGGGGTCCCTTGTATTCGCAACACTGAGGAAAGGGCCGCTCCAGCCCAGCCCGGCACCCACGCACCCGGGCGCACCCTGTCGCGGGCCGGATCGCTCACCTGAGTCCTAAAAGCTGTTGAATCCACATGATCACGTTTCGGGGAACGGAGCCTCAGACCTCGCTCGCCCCGGCCATCTGCGCGGCGCCCGCGCCCGCTCGCTCCCGTCCCGCGGCGCCGGTCTCCGCTCTTGGTCCGCGCCGCCCGCCGCCCGCCGGCCGCGGGGCGCACAGCGATCAGAGCGCGGCCGCGCGGGGCTCCATGTCGGCCGGCGCGCCGCCGCCTAGGGGCGCACGGCTCAGGCGGGCCGACCCGCGGGGGCGCACATCCTCGTCCGGGCAAGGGTCCCTTCGGGGACGACGGAGAGGGCGGCGGCGGCTAGGCGGGCGCGCTCCGGGGTGGCGGGCACGGCGGAGCCCGGGGAGGCGCGGTTCCCCTCCTGCACGCCGGGCACCGATGCTGGCTGGCGCGGGGCGACAATCGCAGCGCGGCGCAGCTCTCGCCTCGGGCCCCGGAGCTCTGCGCCGTGGGTTTGGTGGTACCCGGGCTCTGGACGACTCTGCCACTCAGGCGGCCGCGGGTCCTCTTCACGAGTGTCCGATCGGGGCTATGTCCGGGCTCCGCCGCCGGTCAGCGCCGCTCAAGTTGCCGGGAGCTCCGTCTGAGCGCACGTTCTGCAGACGGCCGGGCCAGGGCCAGCGGGAGACGGGTGAGGCGGGCGCGCGGGGCGAGGGCGCGTGGAGCGCGGGGCGTGGGGACGCGCGGCGGCGGCGCCGCGCGGAGGAGGCGCGCGGGGATCCCGGGGCCCCGCCGCCCGCGCCCACCGCGCCCTCCGCAGAGCCGCCCGCGCTGCTCGGCCGCCTCCCTCTGCGCGTCTGCCGCTCCGCGCGCTCGCCCCCGCCTCCCCGAGCGGGTCCCAACTCCGCCCGCCTGGCCCGGCTCACGTCACCCGCCTTCCCCGCCCCTCGAATGGGAGCCCGAGCCCCTGCCCGGCCCAGGCTCTAGCCTGGCGGTGGCCCGACTCGCTGCCTGGGGCTGTGCCCAGCGCTGGCCCTGGCGAGACCTGAGGTGGGGTCCTCGCCGCCCCCTTCCCCATCCTCGGCCTCGTCTGGTCCCCACCTTGAAAACGGCTCGGGAGAAGCCGCAGGCTCCGATTGGACCGCCGGGCGCCGCCGGATGGTGTTGCCACGGTAACCGGATGGCATGCGAAGCAGTTAGAGGTTCCGACCCGGTTACTCCTGCGCCCAGAGGACCAGGAGAGCGGTTCTGGGGATGGGGCACTGCAAGGGAGGACTCGCGGGGCGCGTGGAACGGGGGTTGCGCCAAAAGTTTTCTTTCTCGGGTTCTGCGCGAGGCGGCGTGGGAGCCTACAGGGTCCCTTGCCCGGCTTCCTTCGGCTCTGCCTTCTTGGGCCCTGGGGAGGAAGTCGCTGCTTTCCTGGATGGGCCGGCGCTTCTGCCCGACTACCCAGCACCCATGGGATGAGTGTCCCGGCCGCCGCAGCCACTGCCTCGCCAGTCCCCAGCTCCAAAGTCCCGAGGTCTTTGTCCTCCTGCTTGTGCCCCTGGGCTAGCTGTGTCTGCAAGAGCTTGAGTAGAAGACAGCCACTCTGTCATGGAACAAAGTGACAGAGGCAGGGCCTTCCACCCAAGGCCAGGGCTGCTGGCTCCTCTAGGCACTATCTGGACAAAGCCCTGCCAAGCAGTGCCGCATCAGGACCCCAGGGGTCATCCTGTAGTCTCCAAGGGTAGATGCGGGCTCAGGGTTGGGGGCAGGAGAGGCACCTCCGGGGCTTTGAGATGGACAGATGGCCCTGGTGGCAGGGCCTCCCAGGGACTGCAGCTGTGGCATGGGTCAGAGGCAGGCAGGGTGTGGCTTGGGACCTGTCCTGGGAGTCAGTACTCCCCCAGCCCCCAGCCTCCAGCCAAGGCTCCTGGAAGGCACAGGCTTCCTGTACCCCCAGGAGGAGGGGCACCTGCTTCTCTGTCAAGGTCTCAGGGCAGCGGCGGGAGGCAGGCACGGGGACCAAGTCTTAGCACAGGCAGAGGAGGTACCACCGCTTACAAACCCTCCATCTCCTCTTCTGAAGGGTGGGTTTCCTGTTTCCCTGACCACCAAATGCATCGGTCCCACACCCAGGAGTGTAACTGTCAGGATTCCAGGGTCAGTGGCCCGAGGAGACATGTGTGAGCCAGCACTTTGCCTGGCCTCCAGGGTCCTTTCCGATGGGGCCTCCTCCTGAAGGGGCCCTGGGAGGGATCCTGGGAGGTCTTGGAGGAGCAAGCTGGACTCGGGGACCTTGGCCCAGGAGGCGGTTTCCACTCTGCTGCCACCTGGTGGGAAGAAATGGGGGTGCTCACAGGAGGCTGGGGTGGAGGGGTTGTGGCAGCCTGCAGGGCCCGGTGGCCTGGGGGGATGGGCTGACCTGTCTGTCCTTGGGACCCCCACCCCTTACAACCTGCTGGCCTCTCTTTAGGGGCGTAGAGATTTTTAGAGCACAGGGCTGTAGGAAACCAATTACGATGTGATGCATTATCTAAAAATCTACGAACCGACCAGGCCGGAAGCAGCTCCAAGGTGGCACACGTGCTTAGCATGCGTAACGTCCTGGGTTCAATCCCCAGAGCCCCCCAAAAGATGAATGAAGCAAGTTCGTGACATAGCAGTACGTGTTTATCTTCATAATACATTGGAGAAGCATTTGATAGATCCCCCGATGCCATAATTTTGATGCCACGGTAGGTAAACACAGTACTTAGAGGCCTCTTCCACTGCTGTAGTTTGTAGCCACAGCTGGGACAGGCGCCACCTCCCTCCTGTTCTGTTTCTGACACTGAAGTTCCGAAGGGCCGACGACTTTTCCAGCCCTTCCAAGGTTAAAGACGCCTGGAGCCCTACACACGCTCTGGGTGGAGGCATCTCCAGACAAGGGTGCTGTGCGTGGAGAGGTTTTCTGAGGGCAAAGATGGGAAGAAACGTGGCAGGAGTCACCAAGCCAGCCAGGCCTGTGCCATCTTTGGGGCAGGGGTCACTGCACCTCTTCCCCAGCTGGAATGACCACACCAGCTTAATTTTCCCTGGGTGGAAGTGGCCCACCCATTGTTTCTGTCTTTGATGAAACATTGTCGTACCTTTTTTTTTTTTTTTGCACATCCGTCCATTTCAGCGTGTGTCTCACTGGTTTCCTGGACTTTGACGGCTGCCTCGTGTCTCACCAATGAACCGCTCTTCCTTTGGAGACTAGGACAGGGAGCCTGGGCTGCTCACTCTCACGTGCTCCTCACGCGTCCACCCGTGCATGGTAGCCACGCGCACACATGTGCACACAGGAATAGGCATACTTGCGCCCACCCACACATATGCACAGAGGAATGCACACGTGTACATGCACACATACATAGGCCAGTGAACACGTGTGCGCAGCCAGTGTACACGTAGGGGACCACCGAGGTCTGCTTGCAGAGTGCCTCTCTGGCCTGCTCACTGCCCCCAGACACCAGCTCGGATCCGGGGCTGCTGCAGGGCAGGCTGTCTGCTCCTCTCCTCAACAGAGGGGCAGGCAGCCCCACGGGAGGTCCTCCTTGCACTCTCCGAGGCCATTTACCTAATGGCCTTCACAGACTTGACTATTTTTAAATCCCATCCAAAGCCAAATTGAGCTGCCATTGCTCATTTTTCTCCCGAGGAGGTAAATGTGTCTTAAGCATGACATTTGATTAAGTAGCCAGGTTTGGGGTTTTAAATGGAAGGGAAATGCTGATTAAAATGGTTGCAAGTCTCTTTAAAGCCTGGTGTCTTCTTACCCTCCCCTCCCTGCCAGCTTCCCCCACCCATGTCACCTTGCCTTCCTTCCCAGGGGAGGCTGAGTGCTGTGCTGGAGCTTCGGAATTTCTCCCCTGGTGGTCTCAGCAGTTTCCAGCTGAGGGGACAGAGCTGGGCACAGAGGAGCTGAGGTGCCACCTGCAAAGTGACCCACGGAACAACCAGCCCGCAGCGCAGGACACCCAGGGCCTGCAGGAAGGGAGTGAGGGTCGCCCTGCCTCGCGAATCTCAGGGGTGCTCTGAGAGGACACAGTGTTCCCAGGCTTCATGCTGGGGCAGACAAGTGTGAGGTCTTCCCTGCTGCCAGAAAGGGGACCAGCTGCTGCCTACGAACAGGATTGGCCAGGAGGAAAACTCATTTGAAGGCTTTCAGGGTTCTCCCTGATAGCTTTGCCTCTTCTATTTAGATGAGAAGGAATGAACAGAAAGAAGATTAATTTGCATTGCAAAATAAAGTAACCAGATTTGAAAGCAGTTTCCTGACCTTGCCCGCTTGAGAGATTGGGGTGCTGGAAGTTGGGGAGAAGAGGAAATGGTCCTAAGATGGGCTGGGGGAGGGCCACGGTGCCTGGGGAAGTCCTTGCACCTGCTGGGCTCTGACTCTGACCGGGACCACTGTCTCAGGGCCCTGCCTTCTGTTCCACACCTGGCGGGTTTGGTGAGCCTGTGCTGAAGTCAGTCGTCCTGCTTAGTAGGGAGTCTCTCTCCCCAAGTGCAGCCAGTGGGCAGAGGGACTGGAGGAGCCCAGAGCAAGGACACCCAGATTGTGCTGGAAGAAACTATCTTGCGGAGAGATGGCCTTCCTCCCTTATTTTCTGGAAGATTCTGGAGAGGGATAAGAACAGGAGCTAGAGCCGCAGAGTTCCTGGGTGGGCCCCAGACAGATTGTTCTGATGCTCAGGGGTCAAGGCTCAGACCTGAGCGTCTCTCCCCATGTGTCTCACTATTGGCATTCCCATGGCTGGGGAGAGGGGCATGCTCTCTTCCGGTGAGGCTGAGTGAGGCCCCCTGGGAATCTGCAGGGACAGGCAAGGCACAGGGTAGGAGGTCACCCGAGTGCCACCCACGGGGTCCCAGACCCAAGGGTCCAGCAGAAGGAGAAGCTCGGGACACTCGCTTTGCGTCTACCCCATGGTTGTGGGTCGAATCAGTTCACAACCCGCATCAGCGAGCTTGGACTAGACATGTTGTACCAGCCACCCGCTGAGCTCCGCAGTTTAAGGCGTTAAGGGCAGCTTCCTGCTCCCTGCGCGGCCATGCACAGCAGTGTCAGCCCTGCTCCACACAGCCTTCGTTCAGCCCCAGCCGGGAGGAGCAGCCTTAGCCTAGAGCATTTGCCCCACCTCATCACCACCGCCCAGGACAGGACCATGCCTCACCATGGGCAGGTCCACACCCTGCTGGCTTCCCCAGAGAAGGGTGTGTGCTGCTTCTGCTCAGCGTCATTGGCCAATCATAGCACAGGACCAGGCTGGTGCCACGGATTGAGGAAGCATAAAGCCACCCAGGGAGAGACAGGTACCGGTTTGGAAGGTCATATAGTTTTCCACACTTGCCAAGTGCTGGCAACACAAGATCCATCAAAACTAGTTTTCTCTGAGCCTTTAAACTTGAAAGAATTTGGGAGGCAGGAGGCAGCCTTTCTGAGAAGCATGATGAGTTCATATACTTTCATTTACATCCAGATCCCACTCACGTTTGAATCTCAAGGCTGGGAGGGTTTGGAATCAGACCCCATCATCCACCCGTGAGCTCCACACATGGCTGTAACAATGGCCGTGCACAAGCAGGTGCTTCTCTAGCACAGCAGGTCCGCAGGGTGAGTCGCTACCTCTGACTCCAAAGTGGACGCAGGGCATCTCTGGGCCCTGAAGCGTCTGCAGAAATCATTACTGCTGCAGTCACCACCACCGCCGCCGCCACCTCTCCTCCTCCTCACCGCCATCATCACCACGTTTTAAAGTTTCCTTGATGCTCAGGATTCAAAAGCGTCCTGGCCAAACCACATCTTCTCCAAAAGTGGCTCTGGAGGATGTGAGCTGCTTGCTCCAATCTGGAGAGAAATGGAGTGGAAAAGCCACACTTGCCTTGGCACATGTCGAGGAGGGAGCTGTGTCACTTCCCAGACAGCCCCACACAGGCCGGATGCCCAGCCCATTTGCCCCAGCGTGGCCTGAAGTCCACCTCAGTCTGTCACCTGCTCATCTCCACCTGGAAACCTCATCTCCAGGCTGAGAGCAGCAGCCTCACAGGTGGGGTGCACTTTAAGTTTGTGACCTCTTTTAACCTCCAAGAGGACCACAGGAGCTGTCAGTTACTCCAGCCAGGCCTCTTCTGGTCCCTGGTCATCACAGTCTGACCTAGCCGTGAGATAAGCCCCCAGAGGAAGCCCGGCCATGGCTACAGAGCCAGGCTGGGACTTGCTTGTCTTAGACTGAGAGACGCCTCAAAGGGAGGGCTGTGCGAGGGGCGGAAGTGATCATGGTGGTCTCGGGGAACTCCGGGCTTGCATCTCCTGTTCAGCCAGCAGAATGGTCGCGTGCCGCTGCTGCATGTGATCCAAATGGGGCCACGTGAGTTTCCTGCCGTCTCAGCAGGGCAGATGAGTCCTGGGATCCAGCCCTGACTGCTGCATGCCAAAGCCTACACGCAGAGGGCACTGCAGGGAAAGCCACCCCAGCCCGCTGCCTGTCCACTGAGCGTGCCCCGCTGGAAGCCGTCTCCTGCTGAAGGGAGGTGACAGGGAGCAGAGGCCAGGGAAGCGTGAGCCGGTGTTTCAGCTGAGTCAGGCCCGCAGCTTCCTGAGTGAGCTCACAGACCCACTTTCTCCAAGGCTACAGAAAGCAGCCACAGCCACCCAGGACAGACCTGGGGAAAGAACACATCCCGTGGTCACCCTGCTGTCACCCAGGACCCCCAACCAGAGGAGCCAGCCAGACATCTGCACCAGCCAACGGCAGCCACAGCCCTCTGAGGATGCATGGTTGCCCTTTTAGGAGGTTCAGGGGCTCCTTTTTATCTTATTTTATTTTTAATCAAAGAACTTCCAGCCCCACCCCTACTGATTAGCAGGGTGGGATCTGGGGTGGTGGAATCACCTTCTGACGACCATTCTCAGGTCTTCCCCTCTGGGGTGCCCTGCGGGCTACGTCACACTTGCTCGGGTGTGTGCAGGGGCCTGGGTCTAGGACACCCTCACCACAACGTCCACAATGCTTAACTTTCTCCTCTAACCAGCTCAGTGTCTGCGTAGAAGCCACACAGCACCTCTCCCGTGCTTCAAATCACCCCCAGATTCCTTGTGACACTAATAAAAAGGAAACTCCGTGCAGATATTGTCACACTGCGATGTGCGGGTTAATGGCAGGACAAGGCTGCACCCGCCCGCAGTGCTCTTGGTCGTTTCCTGCCCCCGGCTGGTTGGGCCTGAGGGTGCTGAAGCTCAGTGACGGAGGGGGACCACCTCCTGTCCCCCAGCCCCTCAGCCCGTCCTCCGGGTTGGTCAGGGCCACAGCAGAGCAAGCTGGGCTCCGTACAGCATCCACGTACGTCCACGTACGTCACACCACCCTGGTGCCAGGGACCTGGTCCCATCCTCGGGAGACTTGTTGTTCCAAATGGACCTCAGGGGGCAGCACAGCTACAGAGGACACCAGTGTGTCATTGTCCATCGATGTCCCTGAAGGCCACAGGTGCTGAGGGTCTGTCGTGCACGATGCTGTTATCTCCCTCCAAGTTCCTTCCTCTGCTCAGAAGCTAGTAGCCTGCATGCGGCCCTCTGTGCCCACCAGGACAAAGCCCGCCTGTGCATCCTGGGATCCCTGGGGTCTGGGTGCTAAAGGAGGGGGGAAAGCCCGAGTGTGATCCACGTGTGCACGTGGAGGTGACATTCCACAGGAGCTCCGTGGAGACCGGCTCTGTGTGGAGCACCTGCCCAGGCCGTGAGGACGCACAGCCAACACCTCCGGGGTGTTTGGGAGGCGCAGCCAGGTGTATGCACATCTGGGTCGGGGCAGCCGCCTCAGTCCTCCTCCGTCCACTCACGCATTCCGTGAGGATGGACTCAGACTAATGAGGCCTCTTCTCTTGCTGTTTTCTCTCATTCTGCTGAGCTCCAGAAAGCTCGGCCTAGATAAGCAAACCCAGAGGGAGCTGGGATTGTGATCAGGGCTGCTGGGGTTGGGGCTTCTCCGTACACAGAGACTCTGGCCGTGCCCCGGAAGTGCTTGAACTGACCACCGTTGTGGCTTCTTAACTTTGCTGGATTACCAACCACCCTTCCATCTCTGGGACAGCATGCATGATACCTGCACCTTAAAGGAGTTTTATTGCAGTGCACGGCATTCAGAGGATTCAGATCATGGTGACCAGGAAGCAGAGTGGAAAGGAAGGAGCTGGGCCTGGAGCATAGCCTTCCAGGGCACCCGGGGCCACCTCCAACCAGGCCCTGGCCCCGAGCAGCACACTCAGCTCTGAACTCACCTGTGGATGAGTCCACTGATGGGCAGTGTCCCATGACCCACTCACCTCACACACACACGCACACAAACATACATGCATGCATGCATGCATGCACACACACATTAGAATTTGGGGGCACAGTTTAGCTTGAAGCCGTGACCTTGAGATGAGAGAGGCATGGGCAGTCTGTACAGCACTTAAGGTGATTGCTGCCCTGGTCCTGAGAGTCCCAGAGGGAGGACGGCAGCAAGCAGGGGCCACTCTCAGCCTGCCCAGACCTGTCCTGAGTGCGTGGCCGTGCTCTGCTCTTGCTTTCCAGGCTCCCAGTGTGGACTGCAAATTACCCCGACCACTGTGGCTTGGATGTCGCATGAGCAGTGTGGGCCCAGCATGGTGATCTGGCAGGTGAAGAGGGGCTGGTGAGAGATCACAGGGATGTGGGCCTGGGAGAGATCGCCTAGTCCTGGGGGACCCTGGTGAGTTGGAGAGTGAGTTTCCACAAACAGGCACGGCCAGTGCCTCCAGTGCTCTGGCTTCCACCTCGCCGTGTGATTGTCCCTCCCACATGTGGTCCCAGCATAATGCCATACAGTATAAGGTGATGCAGCCAGAATACGCTCACAGGAGCCCACACCATGCTGCCCAGATTGCCAGCCTCCAAAACTGTGAGCCAAAGAAACCTCTTTCTTTATAAAGTATCCAGCCTCAAGAATAGCATTTCAGTAAGAGAACATGGACAGATACGTGACTGTGTTCCTTTTCTGGGGCTCTGTACCACCAACCAGGCAGCTCAGACACAAGCACACACTCACACAGTCTGGAGGGAAGGAAGCCTGGATCAGGGTGTGACAGGGTGATCCTTTCAAGCCCCTCCTGTGCTTGCAGACAGGCACCAGCCTGCTGTGTCCCTGTGTGGCCTTTCCTGTGTCGTGTTTGGAAAGACTCCGCCTTGTCATGATAGGACCCTGCCCTATGACTTTAATTAACCCTCATTACTTCCTTAAGGACCACAG